CGCGCGCCCGGGTCCCGCCCCCGGGTGATCACGTGCGCTCCAGGCCCCGCCCCTCCCTCTCCTCCCTCCCGCTCCCTTTGCGGTTCCTGCGGACCCCGCTGCGGCGACACCCGGAGACCCCAAGCTGCGGCGCCCGGTGAGTCCACTGCGGGCGGGGAGCGGGGCCTGCGGCCCGGGGCGGAGTGGGCGAGCTTCGGGGGACGGGCCGGGGTCCCCGGGGGTGGCGCGGGGCTCGAGGGTGCGGGCTCCTCCCGCGGGGACCCTTCCCCACTGTGTCTCCACCGCGTCCCCACCAGGTCCCCGCCGCCCTCGGCCTTGCTGGACTGGTCAGCCGGCGTGGGGTCCCCCTAGACCGCAGGGTCCGGGGCAAGCGTCCTCGGGGGTGGGAGGCGGGGTATGTCCAGAGCCGGTTAGGGGGGTGAGGGGTGGTATGCGGCCGGCTCTGCGCGCGGGGGGCGCCAGGACCCTAGATGCTGCGCGTCCTGAATTAATGGCCTCGGACGCTCTCCCAGAGCCCGCTAGAGTCTCTGGGCGCTGCTGTAGGGACGGGAAAGCCACAGGTGGGGGGTGGGGTACAGCGCGGCCTCAGGGTGGGAGACCCCCAGCCGCCAGCGCCGCAGTGGGTGGAGTCCGCCGTGCTACGCACTTGGAAAGCCTGGGGTGCTCATGGCTGCAGTACCCCCCCGCCCCCGCGCACACGCCCCCAGCCGGACGAGGGTACCCCCGTGGATCCTGCTACTCCTCGCACTGCTCCCCGCTAAATTCCTTGGGGAGGGAAAAAGAAGAAATACAATTTTTCGGGAGGAGAGACGTAATGTCTCATTAGTGTTTTAAGTTTCTCATTGAGAAATCATACACCGTATTCTTCTTGGCAAGTGTCCGTGGAGAGGAGGCAGCTGGTTGGGGCAGGTGGGTTCAGCGAGAGCAGTGAGAAGGGGCCAGGGTGGGGGACTACCTTTTCTTGAGGCTCCGTTCTGCACAGGTTTGGCTTCCTTTCAGAACATCTGGCTTAGACTCCCTGGGGGAGACAGATGTGCCTCTCCTGAGGGCCCTAGACCCCGCCCTATCGCTGCATTCTCCCAAGCCCAGACCCTGACTGCTGGTCTTGTGGTCCCCATGCCCACCCCAGGCATGCCGTCTTCTGTGAAGGCGTTGGGTCAAGCCAGGCCCCCGGGTGCCAGTATGGCCCCCCAGGCCCACTGCTGCTCCCCTGCAGCTGTGCAGAGGCGGCTGCCCATCCTGGCTTGGCTGCCGGACTACTCCCTGCAGTGGCTGAAGATGGACTTCATCGCTGGACTCTCGGTTGGGCTCACAGTCATTCCCCAGGCGCTGGCCTATGCTGAGGTGGCTGGACTCCCGCCCCAGGTGAGATGGCTGCCCCAGCCGCCGCCCCCACCCCAGCCTCAGCAACCGCCCAGAAGCAGAGTAGGAATGCACCACCCGCCCTCCAGACAAGCGGTGCGCCAGAACTCCAGCCCCGTGGGGCCCCAGAAGTCTCCGTGTACCGTTTATAGCACATGACTGTCTTGGGGCAGATGCACGCCCCCGTAACACGCGAGGCACTGAGCTAGTTCTGGGTTGTCCGAGGGGGCCAGCAGGATGACTCACCATGGTCTCAAGGACACTGTCTTAGACTCACAGACTGAGACAAGCATCCAGGCCTTTGCGTCCCTGCTGGCACCCAAGTGGGGTGCGGTAGAAAAGAGGCCCCTAATCGCCGTGGGTCCGCATCATGGCTAACGGGGTGAGCGCTTTGCCCTGTGTGCGCTGCTGTGCCCGTAGTCACAGCGGCCCCCACAGATCCTGTGCTCAGACATCTCCCCCCGGGACTCTGTGGGCCCCCCGTGCACCTTGTCGATGCTCCGTGCTGTCTCCTCACCAGTACGGCCTCTACTCTGCCTTCACGGGATGCTTCGTGTATTTCTTCTTGGGCACCTCCCGGGATGTGACGCTGGGCCCAACGGCCATCATGTCCCTCCTGGTCTCCTTCTACACTTTCCACGAGCCCGCCTATGCTGTGCTGCTGGCCTTCCTGTCTGGCTGCATCCAGTTAGCCATGGGCTTCCTGCGCTTGGGTAAGACTGTCGGGCCTTCCTGCCAGGGGGTACCCAGGCACCTGCCTCCTGGGGATGCCCTGGCCCTCAGCCTTTCCATCTTTGCCTCTAAGGGGCTGTTCCTGTGCGTGTGTGAAGGTGGGGGGGTTCTCCTCAGCCCTCCGCTATTCTGCTTAGAGGCCAAGACACTTGGGGAAGTGTCCAGGGCCTCAGACCCTACCCTCCCTTCCCCGCTGTCCAAACCTGTCCAGACAGGGTGTGTGGTCCAACAGTGCTTAGCCCCAGTCCCCCCAGACCACCTCTCCCAGCCCATATCCACCCACGTTCTCTGGGACTGGTGGTCCCAGTTCAGTATTCCCTCTTGGCTGGCCAGGTTTTCTGCTGGACTTCATCTCCTGCCCTATCATCAAGGGTTTCACATCCGCTGCCACCATCACCATCGGCTTCGGGCAGATCAAGGTAGGCACGCTGGTTGGCGGCCAGGCCCCTCCTGGGTAGTAGGACCGAGGCTGGCTTCCCTACATGTGGGCCAGTTCATGTCTTGCTCTTCCAGAGCTCAGAGCACAAGGTGCTCGAGTGGGTCTCCATCGATTCCGGGAGCCCTCGGGGGAGATGCTGAGTGATGGTGGGACCGTACGACAGGTAACTGGGGTGACTGGTAACAGCAGCCCCACCCCTGTTGGAGCTTTGGGGCCAGCGTGCTTGGTCCGCCTCACTGGGCGATTCCGTTCTGCTGCCTTCCCTCGGCCTCTTAGGCCGTCAGCATACCATTAACGTGTTGAAGAGCAAATTATTTCTCCATGCTTGTTTAGCTAGGTGATTTCATTTTAATGTTTTTTCTCCCAGTTTCTGTTCAGGATTTTTTCTTTAAGATTTCATTTATTTATTTGAGAGAGGGAGCACACGCACAAGTAGGGGGAGGGGCTGGAGGAGAGAGAGAGGCAGACTCCCGCTGAGCAGGGAGCCCGATGCGGGGCTCAATCCCAGGACCCCGGGATCACGATCTGAGCCGAAGTCAGATGCTTAACCAACGGCCACCCAGGCATCCCTCTTACAGATGATGTTTTAAACAGAAACATAAAGAGGCAAGGCATTTGAAAAATACTGAACAGAGGGGCTCCTGGGTGGCTCAGTCAGTTAAGCATCCGACTCTTGATTTCGGCTCAGGTTGTGATCTCAGGGTCCTGGGATTGAGCCCCCTGTGGGGCTCCATCCTTAGCGTGCACGGAGTCTGCTTGAGATTATCTTTTTCTCTCCCTTTGCTCCTCCCCCGCTTGCACTTTTTCTTTCTCTGAATAAAGAAGTAAATAAAACCTTTAAAAAAAAATCTGTAAAAAATATTAGAACCGATCATCATCAGTGAGCCGGGACATCATTTCTTCTCACTGGGTGTTCGGTTCCCGAAGGGCAGGTATGGTTTTGCTTGCAGCTGTGGCCACCCAGCCCCGAGCTTTGTATGAAAGGAGGTGAGTGCTCAGCTGGGTGTGCAGAACGGAGCTGAGCCAGATTGTACAGCAGCCTGAGGGCCCACCCCCGTCTCAGGGCCTGCCGTCAGCACTGCTCCTCTCTAAGGCATGGTTCCCGTGGCCAGGCTCTGCTCCGGGCTGGCCCGGGAGAGCCTTCCTGAGGGAGGTGGACTGAGAGTCAGGGACGGGAGGGTGTGAGCGAGAGGAAAGGAGCAGACCCTTTCTGCATTCCTACTGTGTGCTGGATGCTGGGTTAAACCCTCCCTTGTCTCGGATTGTTCTGATGCCTCCGGGAGGCAGGTTCATCATCATCTGCGCGTAGAGAGGCGGGAATTCGTTAGGTGTGGGTGGACACGGTTTGCGTATGTTATACACACGTATGTCATGGTAAGCTCGGCAAGTGCTGTTTCGTGGGATGGTCCGTCCTTTATTCTGGAAACGATATCTTTCCTTTTTGGTGTCAGGAATGTTCTTTTATGCAGTTGTAACACATAGAAGGTAGCTTCTTTATGCACTCGTGCTTGGCAATGCTAGGTTCCCTAAATCTTTAACGCCTCGATTGAGTCATGACAGCCATCTGAGAGCCCTAGGCCAGGGTGGGGGTCAGGAGTGGGGGGTTCTCCTGACCGGCCCTGGCAGGAGCCCCCTGGGTCCCAGAATTCTGTGTTTCCACACCGGTGTCTGTCCCCATTCGGGGCTGTGTGCATGGGTTTTGGGATCCTTGGTCTGCGCCTCAGCCACCCCACTAACACTCCCCACTCAGTGTCAAGTGGGATAAAGAACTAAAACACAGAGGAGAGCACCTTCTCTCCTCCAAGGACCCTGCCTGCTTGCGCCCCCGCAGCGGTCCTTCCCTGGAGGCCCTCAGAGCCCCTGGTGGTTCTGCCCACAGCTCCACTCATTTTCCTTCTGCCGGGGGCAGTGCCTGGCAGGTGCGCCTCTGGCCAATGGCAAAGGGGGGCAGGGCGCGCACTGAGTGAGGGCAGGGTGTGTCAAGGGCAGTGGGGCCCACGGGGCAGGCAGGCAGTGACCCTGGACCCTTGACCAGGGCGTGGCTGCTTTGAGATCACCCAGACTGATTTTTCTCACAAAGGAGAATTATTCACCAAGAGATGTCTTTGACCACAAACATGAAATGCCTCTTCTCTCGAGGATAATTCTGCTCTCCTGCCCCTGGGGGCTTTGGGAATGGGCAGATGGTCTCCAGAGAGCCTCTGGATGTGCCCCCAAGGAAGGGGCCCGAGATGTGCTGAGATGTTGTGGGGGAAGGTTGTCTAATCCAGTCTCTGTTTGGACAGAACCTCCTGGGACTGCAAGATATCCCGAGACAGTTTCTCCTGCAAGTGTATCAGACCTTCCGCAAGGTCGGAGAGACCAGGTACCTGCCAGCTGTGTGGTCCCGCTCTTCGTTCCGGAGCCCCTCTCGGAGGCCCCGCCCCATTTCCCGCTGCGCCGCCCCCCCCCCAGGTGGCATGTATTCCAGTCCCCTGGGGCCTGGCCGCCCAGACAGGGTCCCAGAGCAGCACCACAGGGGAGCGGGTTAGAAACACAGACCCTCAGCCCTGCCCAGCCCTGCTGCATCGGTTGGGGTTCAGCAGCAGCCCCAGGGAGTCGGTGTGCACCCTGAAGTTTGAGAAGCTCTGCCCCGGGGCCTGAGAGCCGGTCAGCGTGCCCCTGCTCACAGCCTCCATGGGTGGTAAGAGTGGGAGGGCTGCAAGCAGAGGAAGAGTAGCGGTCTCTCTGAAGGTTTATAGTTCAGTGAGGAGAACACAGGGCATGGGGGAGGCAGGTGCAAACAGAACGTGCAGGGAGAGAGGATGAGAGCCAGACCGCCGCTCGTGGGGCTCCTTCAGATGAAGGGCCTCTCCCAGAGGGCAGACAGGAGATGCTTCTAGAGGAGTGCAGCTGGAAGCCAGGACCTCTCCTTGGCTGGAGGAACAAGAGGACACAGTGATCTGGAGGGAGCTGCTGGGGGGAAGGGGTGGGACACCAGAAGACCGGCTGTCTTCTCCTCCGCTTCTGATCGGCTGTGAAGCTTCCCGGGGCTGAATCCATCCGAGCCAGGGGCTCCCTGGCCCAGGACGTGCAGCCTGGTTGGGGGGGGGTCCTCATCGCGGGGGGGGCAGGGGATTTGGAGACTGACTGGTCAGAGAGCCTCACAGGCTGTGAGAAGTGAACCTTCTGGAACAGACGAGGCACCCGAAGCCACAGAGCTACGTGGCTGTAAATGTGAGCCATAGCCCTACCGCCGTGGTGATCTGGGCCTCGACTCCCAGGCCTGCGTGGTCGCTGAGTGCTGAATCAAGTCTTGAAGGAGAACAGGGATGCGTGTGTCTTGGGAAGAAGCGAGCAGAGCAGTCGAGAGAGAGGCTCTCTGGCAGAAGGGGTGATGGAGGGGCAGAGGTGTCCGCCCCGGGCCGGCCTGGGCGTGACCGGTGTCTGTCCGCAGGGTGGGCGATGCCGTGCTGGGGCTGGTGTGCATGGTGCTGCTGCTGCTGCTGAAGCTGATGCGGGACCACGTACCCCCCGTGCACCCCGAGATGCCCCCGGGCGTGCGGCTCAGCCACGGGCTGGTTTGGACTGCCACCACAGGTGAGCGGTGCTCCGGCCGAGGACGGGCCGCAGCCATTCTGCACACCGGGGTGCACCCCGCGAGATTCTCCTGTTGCTGGGCTGGGCGTGACCTGGGCACCGGATATTGAAACTTGCCAGCAGGCTCTGATCCACGGCCAGGGTGCAGAACGGCGTTTAGTAGCAGGAGTTCTCAAGCACAGGCGATTTCTGCCCCCGGGGACATTTGGCAATGTCTGGAGTCGTTTCTGGTCGAGACTACTGGGTGGGGCTGTCATGGGCACCGGTGGGGAGAGGCCAGGGAGGCCCCCGAACGCCTGCAGTGCACAGCCTATGGCGAAGGATGATCTGGTCCAGAATGTCAACAGTGTGAGGCTGGGAAGCCCTGGCTGGTCCCCGAGGGAGAAATCACATGGATCACGTGCTTCTGTTTGAGCTGCGCAGCTCTGAGCCTGGATTTCCCATCACACAAATGGGTAGCAGGGCCCTGGGCCTTTCCTGTGCCCTGGAATGTTGTAAACAGCTAAAATAGTTGTAGTCCTGATGACAACGTCCGTGATAAGAGTGATGCAGCCTTTTGAGAGCTGGGTCGGTGATGGGGCTCATATTCTGGGAAGAGATATCACCCCCATTTAAGAAGCCAGCACAGGGGCACCTGGGGGGCTCAGTCCGTTACGCGTCTGACTCGGTTTTGGTTCAGGTCCTGATCAGGTGGGATTGAGCCGTGTGTTGGTTTCCGCACTCAGTGGGGAGTCTACTTGGGGTTCTCTCTCCCTCTCCTGCCCCTCTCCCCTGCTCCTCACCCCTGCTCGTTCTCTTTCTCTCTCAAATAAGTAAATAAAATATTTTTAAAGATTTTATTTGTCAGAGAGAGAGAGCACGAGCACAAGCAGGGGCAGAGGGAGAAGCAGTCTCCTCGTAGAGAGAGCAAGGAGCCCGACACGGGGCTCGATCCCAGGACCCTGGGATCATGACCTGAGCTGAAGACAGATGCTTAACAACTGAGCCACCCAGGTGCCCCATAAGTAAAATCTTAAAAAAAAAATAGGAAAGAGGGCAGCACAGCTCAGGTAAGAGCCGAGAGGCGGGACCCGAGGTGACCAGTAGACGACGTGGGTAGGCTGTGTGTGTCACTGTGGGCCTGTCCCGCCATCTCACATTTGCTGTGGCATCATGTGCTCATGCCTGCCCCTCGGTCGCTGGTGTGTGTGCTGTTTCCCAGGCTGCAGTGATGGGGGTGGTTGCTGGGGGCGGGTGTCCTGCTTCCCCGGGTGTATTTACTGCCCCAGTTACCCAGAGGAGCCAGATTTCACCAACGGGTCTCCCTTCTGTCCTAGCCCGCAATGCCCTGGTCGTCTCCTTTGCTGCCCTGGTCGCATACTCCTTCGAGGTGACCGGATACCAGCCTTTCGTTCTAACGGGGAAGACCACCGAGGGGCTCCCTCCAGTCCGGATTCCGCCCTTCTCAGTGACCACGGCCAATGGGACAGTTTCCTTCACCGAGATGGTACAGGTGGGTGGAGACGGGGAGCCAGGCCTGCTGGGTGGGGCTGAGGTGGCCTCGGGGCCTGGTTCCGTGCCTCCGATGCATCTGCTTCGTAACAAGGAGCTCTGAGCCCGGCTAGGACCGCTGAGTCCTCGGGACCGAGGGCCTCTGGGTGCAGGGACGGGCACAGAAGGGTCTGGGCCCGACCTTGAAGGACACCATGTTTAGTTGCACTGTGGACACGGGCAGAGCAGGGATGTGTCCTGTGCTCTGCTCTGCGTCCGGCCCCGGGTGTGAGCTCCCGGCCCTCCAGCTGAAGCACAGCTTCCGGTCAGACGTGGAAGAGTGCATGCCAGCCTTGGTGGGTCACTGCCTGGCCGGCCCCTCCTCACCTTCCCCGGAGGCCCACTTACTGTCCCTCTCTCCTCTCTCAGGACATGGGTGCTGGCCTGGCCGTGGTGCCCCTGGTGGGTCTCCTGGAGAGCATCGCAGTGGCCAAGTCCTTCGGTAAGATGCCCGCCGTCGGGGCCTCCTGGTGGTGTCCCGGAGCCGGCCTTGCCTGCCTGCTCTCTTGCTTGCTCTTACCTGCTTTGGTTTTTAACAGCTTGAGTTTTTATCCAAGTAACACATGCTCGTGTTTTTAACAAAAAAACGTGTAGTAAAAGTGGATTTATGACAAAAACCCCCATCTAGGGGTGGCTGGTAACGTGTGCCAGCCTGCTGTCCGGAAGGAGAAGGCCCTGCGTTTCAACGCCTTCGCCTCGTGGCGTAATCGTGCCCCCCCTCGGGCTGCCTCCCAGCGGCTCGCGGAGTTTGATCGATCGCATCTCGGGGTGAGATGCCGCGGCGTCCACTCGCCGGACACGTGCGGTTAATTAAATAACTTCGTGGGTCGTAGTGAAACGTAGTAGGTCAGGAAGGGATACATTTTAAGTCTGTCTTTAGTTTTGATGTAACTTATGTCATTGAAAGCTTTTACCTAATAGGTAATAATGGCTGTATTTAATGACAGGTTCCCAAAATTCCTAAAAATTTAGCAATGCGCTCTTTCCAGCTGGCTGAGCACCCCTGGCCTGTGCTCTCCCCGCCCCCAGGGAGGCCGGGATGCAGTAATCTAGTTACGTGCCTATTTGTTCGCCCAGAACTCGGATTCCTCCGTCAGAGCTGAGGCTGCTCCATCCCTCGAGTGTCCACTCCCTTGGGTCCGCGGGGTGTCCGGCTTTGTGTTGTGCACGTGGATGGCATTTTCCTTTCGTTCTACGATGGTTACGCTCTTGCCACACTGGGGTACAGGTCGATTCTAAAGGTGAAACCCAATAAAGGGCATGCACATCGCCGTACCCACATGGACCGGATCTGATTTGTGCCAGCATCCCGACCCCCCCGTACTGCCAAGGAGACTCGTGCCTGATGCGCATTCCGAGGGCCCATCCCTGCTAACCACCAGCGGCTGCTCCGGGTCCCGCCGCACGTTCCCATCAAGCCTTCCTGGTGCAGCTTCTGTTTTTCTGATGATCTTTTTCCGGGTGGGGAGTTTTGGGCGTATTTTGGAGTCTGCGTCTTAACAGCGTTTATGCCTCTTGTGACTTTAAAACTGTCTTCTGAAATCACTTGATGTCCCGTCCTAACTCGTAAGCTTGTCATTCTCTGAAACCAGGGCTGGAGAACCACAGCCCGCGACCCAAGAGTAAGAGTGGCTTTTATGTTTTTTTTTTTAAAGATTTTATTTATTT